CAACATTACAAGTCATTTGGAGTGGAATCTACCTTATTGCGCAATTTGGAGTTGGTACTAAGAGTTCGTACTCGTGCACATCTTGTCATTATGACACAATTAAGCGGTTTATGTGTTTATATGACTAAACCAATCATTGAATCACATGTCCATCAACATTACAACACATTTGGAGTGCAAATCAACCTTATTGCGCAATTTGGGGTCGGTACTAAGAGTTCGTACTCGCGCACATCTTGTCATTATGACACAATTAAGCGATTTATGTGTTTATATGACTAAACCAATCAAAGAATCACATGTCTATCAACATTACAAGTCATTTGGAGTGGAAATCTACCTTATTGCGCAATTTGGAGTCGGTACTAAGAGTTCGTACTCGTGCACATCTTGTCATTATGACACAATTAAGCGGTTTATGTGTTTATATGACTAAACCAATCAAAGAATCACATGTCTATCAACATTACAAGACATTTAGAGTGCAAATCCACCTTATTGTGCAATTTGGAGTCGGTACTAAGAGTTCGTACTCGTGCACATCTTGTCATTATGACACAATTAAGCGGTTTATGTGTTTATATGACTAAACCAAACATTGAATCACATGTCATCAACATTACAAGTCATTTGGAGTGGAAATCTACCTTATTGCGCAATTTGGAGTCGGTACTAAGAGTTCGTACTCGTGCACATCTTGTCATTATGACACAATTAAGCGGTTTATGTGTTTATATGACTAAACCAATCATGAATCACATGTCCATCAACATTACAAGTCATTTGGAGTGGAAATCTACCTTATTGCGCAATTTGGAGTCGGTACTAAGAGTTCGTACTCGTGCACATCTTGTCATTATGACACAATTAAGCGGTTTATGTGTTTATATGACTAAACCAATCAAAGAATCACATGTCTATCAACATTACAAGTCATTTGGAGTGGAAATCTACCTTATTGCGCAATTTGGAGTCGGTACTAAGAGTTCGTACTCGTGCACATCTTGTCATTATGACACAATTAAGCGGTTTATGTGTTTATATGACTAAACCAATCAAAGAATCACATGTCTATCAACATTACAAGACATTTAGAGTGCAAATCCACCTTATTGTGCAATTTGGAGTCGGTACTAAGAGTTCGTACTCGTGCACATCTTGTTATTATGACACAATTAAGCGGTTTATGTGTTTATATGACTAAACCAATCATTGAATCACATGTCCATCAACATTACAAGTCATTTGGAGTGGAAATCCACCTTATTTTGCAATTTGGAGTCGGTACTAAGCGTTCGTACTCGTGCATATCTTGTCATTATGACACAATTAAGCGGTTTATGTGTTTATATGACTAAACCAATCAAAGAATCACATGTCTATCAACATTACAAGACATTTGGAGTGCAAATCCACCTTATTGTGCAATTTGGAGTCGGTACTAAGAGTTCGTACTCGTGCACATCTTGTCATTATGACACAATTAATCGGTTTATGTGTTTCCATGACTAAATCAATCAAAGAATCACATGTCTATCAACATTACAAGTCATTTGGAGTGGAAATCTACCTTATTGCGCAATTTGGAGTCGGTACTAAGAGTTCGTACTCGTGCACATCTTGTCATTATGACACAATTAAGCGCTTTATGTGTTTATATGACTAAACCAATCAAAGAATCACATGTCTATCAAGATTACAAGTCATTTGGATTGGAAATCTAGCTTATTGCGCAATTTGGAGTCGGTACTAAGAGTTCGTACTCGTGCACATCTTATCATTATGATACAATTAAGCGGTTTATGTGTTTATATTACTAAACCAATCAATGAATCACATGTCTATCAACATTACAAGTCATTTGGAGTGGAAATCTACCTTATTGCGCAATTTGGAGTCGGTACTAAGAGTTCGTACTCGTGCACATCTTGTCATTATGACACAATTAAGCGGTTTATGTGTTTATATGACTAACCAATCAAAGAATCACATGTCTATCAACATTACAAGTCATTTGGATTGAAATCTAGCTTATTGCGCAATTTGGAGTCGGTACTAAGAGTTCGTACTCGTGCACATCTTGTCATTATGACACAATTAAGCGGTTTATGTGTTTATATAACTAAACCAATCATTGAATCACATGTCCATCAACATTACAAGTCGTTTGGAGTGCAAATCCACCTTATTGTGCAATTTGGAGTCGGTACTAAGAGTTCGTACTCGTGCACATCTTGTCATTATGACACAATTAAGCGGTTTATGTGTTTATATGACTAAACCAATCAAAGAATCACATGTCTATCAACATTACAAGACATTTAGAGTGCAAATCCACCTTATTGTGCAATTTGGAGTCGGTACTAAGAGTTCGTACTCGTGCACATCTTGTCATTATGACACAATTAAGCGGTTTATGTGTTTATATGACTAAACCAATCATTGAATCACATGTCCATCAACATTACAAGTCATTTGGAGTGGAAATCTACCTTATTGCGCAATTTGGAGTTGGTACTAAGAGTTCGTACTCGTGCACATCTTGTCATTATGACACAATTAAGCGGTTTATGTGTTTATATGACTAAACCAATCATTGAATCACATGTCCATCAACATTACAACACATTTGGAGTGCAAATCCACCTTATTGCGCAATTTGGGGTCGGTACTAAGAGTTCGTACTCGCGCACATCTTGTCATTATGACACAATTAAGCGATTTATGTGTTTATATGACTAAACCAAATCAAAGAATCACATGACTATCAACATTAAAAGACATTTGGAGTGCAAATCCACCTTATTGTGCAATTTGGAGTCGGTACTAAGAGTTCGTACTCGTGCACATCTTGTCATTATGACACAATTAATCGGTTTATGTGTTTCATGACTAAACCAATAAAAGAATCACATGTCTATCAACATTACAAGACATTTGGAGTGCAAATCCACCTTATTGTGCAATTTGGAGTCTGTACTAAGAGTTCGTACTCGTGCACATCTTGTCATTATGACACAATTAAGCGGTTTATGTGTTTATATGACTAAACCAATCAAAGAATCACATGTCTATCAACATTACAAGTCATTTGGAGTGGAAATCTACCTTATTGCGCAATTTGGAGTCGGTACTAAGAGTTCGTACTCGTGCACATCTTGTCATTATGACACAATTAAGCGGTTTATGTGTTTATATGACTAAACCAATCAAAGAATCACATGTCTATCAACATTACAAGACATTTAGAGTGCAAATCCACCTTATTGTGCAATTTGGAGTCGGTACTAAGAGTTCGTACTCGTGCACATCTTGTCATTTTGACACAATTAAGCGGTTTATGTGTTTATATGACTAAACCAAACATTGAATCACATGTCCATCAACATTACAAGTCATTTGGAGTGGAAATCTACCTTATTGCGCAATTTGGAGTCGGTACTAAGAGTTCGTACTCGTGCACATCTTGTCATTATGACACAATTAAGCGGTTTATGTGTTTATATGACTAAACCAATCATTGAATCACATGTCCATCAACATTACAAGTCATTTGGAGTGGAAATCCACCTTATTGTGCAATTTGGAGTCGGTACTAAGAGTTCGTACTCGTGCACATCTTGTCATTATGACACAAGTAAGCGGTTTATGTGTTTACATGACTAAAGCAATCAAAGAATCACAAGTCTATCAACATTACAACACATTTGGAGTGGAAATCCACCTTATTGTGCAATTTGGAGTCGGTACTAAGAGTTCGTACTCGTGCACATCTTGTTATTATGACACAATTAAGCGGTTTATGTGTTTATATGACTAAACCAATCATTGAATCACATTTCCACCAACATTACAAGCCATTTGGAGTGGAAATCCACCTTATTACGCAATTTGGAATCGGTACTAAGAGTTCGTACTCATGCATATCTTGTCATTATGACACAATTAAGCGGTTTATGTGTTTATATGACTAAACCAAATCAAAGAATCACATGTCTATCAACATTAAAAGACATTTGGAGTGCAAATCCACCTTATTGTGCAATTTGGAGTCGGTACTAAGAGTTCGTACTCGTGCACATCTTGTCATTATGACACAATTAATCGGTTTATGTGTTTCCATGACTAAATCAATCAAAGAATCACATGTCTATCAACATTACAAGTCATTTGGAGTGGAAATCTACCTTATTGCGCAATTTGGAGTCGGTACTAAGAGTTCGTACTCGTGCACATCTTGTCATTATGACACAATTAAGCGGTTTATGTGTTTATATGACTAAACCAATCAAAGAATCACATGTCTATCAAGATTACAAGTCATTTGGAGTGGAAATCTACCTTATTGCGCAATTTGGAGTCGGTACTAAGAGTTCGTACTCGTGCACATCTTATCATTATGATCCAATTAAGCGGTTTATGTGTTTATATTACTAAACCAATCAATGAATCACATGTCTATCAACATTACAAGTCATTTGGAGTGGAAATCTACCTTATTGCGCAATTTGGAGTCGGTACTAAGAGTTCGTACTCGTGCACATCTTGTCATTATGACACAATTAAGCGGTTTATGTGTTTATATGACTAAACCAATCAAAGAATCACATGTCTATCAACATTACAAGTCATTTGGAGTGGAAATCTACCTTATTGCGCAATTTGGAGTCGGTACTAAGAGTTCGTACTCGTGCACATCTTGTCATTATGACACAATTAAGCGGTTTATGTGTTTATATGACTAAACCAATCATTGAATCACATGTCCATCAACATTACAAGTCGTTTGGAGTGCAAATCCACCTTATTGTGCAATTTGGAATCGGTACTAAGAGTTCGTACTCGTGCACATCTTGTCATTATGACACAATTAAGCGGTTTATGTGTTT